TCTGTCCATCTTTACCTACAGAAACTTGAGCCTCCTCTAAAGATTGTATTAATTTAAAAAAATATTATTTAATTTTTTTAAACAAGAAATAAACAAAAAACGGAATGCACTTATATTTTCAAAAAAGTTTAGAAAATCCCGGAATATTAAAAAAAAATTATCCTAAAATGTCTTATCACTGACCCCGGAAATATCAGGTCATCCCATGAGTTCTGTCCGAATTTTGAATAAAGAAAACAAGTGACCAAATGTTACATTTAATTACAGATTCAATCAACAATGTATTTTCATTGATTATCTATGACTTCCTTCCATCTATTAACAAGCTTACTAATTCCATTACTGTAAAATTCTTTTGGCTTTGATTCGAAGAACTCACAAATGTCAGTTTTAACCTCTTCCTGTGTTACAAAAGCAGTTTCTTCCAAATGATTCTGTAAGCTACGAAAAAAATGGTAGTCTGAATGAGCAAGATCGGGAGAATAAGGTAGATGAGGAATTTTCTCCCAACCATAGTCTTTGTTACATTATCTTTTGATACCCGGTGTCGAAAATCCAAAAAAGAAAAGAAATAATAAAAGTGTATAAAGAGACAAAAAAATTAGTAAAATTTGAAATAACCACCATATCATACACATGTACATATACACATATATACATGCGTATACACACATACACACGACGAGTTGATTGAACAGTTACACAAAGACAGATAGATATGTACAGACTGCGATAGATAGATAGATAGATAGATAGATAGATAGATAGATAGATAGATAAGAACAGACTGTGATAGATAGATAGATAGATAGATAGATAGATAGATAGATAGATATGAACAGACTGTGATAGATAGATAGATAGATAGATAGATAGATAGATAGATAGATAGATAGATAGATAGATAGATATGAACAGACTGTGATAGATAGATAGATAGATAGATAGATAGATAGATAGATAGATATGAACAGACTGTGATAGATAGATAGATAGATAGATAGATAGATAGATAGATAGATAGATGAACAGACTGTGATAGATAGATAGATAGATAGATAGATAGATAGATAGATAGATAGATAGATAGATATGAACAGACTGTGATAGATAGATAGATAGATAGATAGATAGATAGATAGATATGAACAGACTGTGATAGATAGATAGATAGATAGATAGATAGATAGATAGATATGAACAGACTGTGATAGATAGATAGATAGATAGATAGATAGATAGATAGATAGATAGATAGATATGAACAGACTGTGATAGATAGATAGATAGATAGATAGATAGATAGATAGATAGATAGATAGATAGATATGAGGAGACTTGAATCTATATAGGTAAACATTGTTCGAGATTATCTTTGAGTCTATGAATAAAAATTAATCATGTTTATACTTGAGACTATAGGTAAACATTGGCACCGTTTATCCTGAGTTTATAGGCAAATATCGTGTTTATTCTTGATTCAGTAGGTATTTTCTTTACAGACAGCCTCCTTGGTAGAGGTGGGTGTCTTATACGCAGTCGGCATATTTTGGGCTCCGTCGACAAGATAGGCAAAACACTGAGATGTTTTAATACAAAACCTCGCTATTAGAGCACTCAATCGAAATCACAAAAATATCAACAGGATGTGTAGTGTCACTAACTCACGAAAAATAGTATGCACCCAACTGCCGTAGATAATAGCCATAGCTTTTTAAAGTCTTTGTGATTTTATATATAAATGAGTTACCTCATCTCCCTGAACGGAAGAGGGCTTACCAACTTATTTTCCCTGGTACATCTGGGAGCTTTTGTCTCCTATCTATCTGTCTCCCTATAAGTAAGAAATTGTCTAGGTATGGGGGATCGTGATTTTTGTTTTCTTTTTTCATAAGAGTGTTCATCCAATGATTGTTTATCTTCAGAGTCTCGATATCACTGTCATGTTTGTTTTGCCTTGACATGACACTTTCTCCTTCATTACTTTCAGGCTCACTATACATTTCTTCAACGCTATCATGTTGCAATCTAACTTGGTCTATATACACTAATATCCCATTTCCTTTTTTATTCTATTATCATTCTGTTCTGTCCACTTTGCATTATGAAACTTGCCTCTTGTAGATTAGATTCACTATTCTTTTTTACCATAGTTTTTCGATGGCAGCATAGGACATAGTCAATCGGGCTCTAATTTGTCGGACGGGCTTTTCGATCTTCCAGCATGCGGTATTGTCCTATAACTTAACACTTGTCGTGTCCACTAAAATATCAACTACAATATTTATAAACCAATCACACTCAAGAAAACACTTACATCTTAAAACACACCAATAAAATCATAGATTACAAATCAGAATGTTTGTTGTATTAGTCATCATCGATTTTAGGTAGATACCGACCAAATATCGTACGGACGTAGTAGAAGACATACCACGTGACTTCTTAGGGCCAATTAGAAATAAATAAATAATTTAATTCTGGAGCCGATATTGTTCGGAAAAAGTGTATAAAAACATACAAAATCCGTTCCCAAAACAATATAAACGCAGCTGCCAGCAAGCTACACACACCTTTCGCCGATGACCTTGATGACCTCATGTCAAAAACGACAGCGTTGACAAACTCCAGACCACGGCAACACCGCCAACAGTAAGAAACAATTCCTATCTCTCGTATCCGTTTTTACTATGTATCACGCACACACATGTTGACTTTTTCATACAAACACACATATCACAACATTTTATTGTTTCTCACACACGGACACAAAGACAGTTTATATTTTATTTCAGAAATTTATCAACCCAAACAAAAGACATAACTTTCCAACTTTTTGTATTCCTATCATTATATTAAATCAATGTTTATTTGTTGAAACTACGTCGTCTTTTCTACTGAATTTTATTCCTTCAATGAAAAGCGTTTGATTATTCTAGACGGCCAAATTACGAGCGACCTTGTAACGATATTTTATTAATGTATTGAATCCCAACACTCCAAATTTTAATATTCAACAAAAAAACGAGTAGAAGGATTCCTACACACTAATCTAGGAAGAAATGTTTCTGTCTTTATTTCTATTGTATACATATGTTCAACCCGTTTGCACCATCTTTTCTACCAATCTTCTTTGCTTCATAGTTTTTTTTTTTTAACATTCCAGTTTCTTCTACTTTGACTTTGTTTACCAGTTTTGTAAAATTTATATTCAATACATCATTTCTTATTAGACCATGATCTTTTTCACAGTTTGCTACGATAATTGGTAATACGTCAAACTTATTTTTAGTTCCACATAGGCTTCAAAATAGCCTAACGTTTTTATCACCTATCCGTCGAAATGACACAATTGGACAAGGCTTTTCTTTAGTGTTGGTTTTCCTAATTTCTTCCAAAACATTATGGGTATCGGCGTCACGTCACTTCCAGTATCTAGTTACATGTCCAATAAAACATTATTGATTCAAATTTTTAATAATCTTTTTTCATTTTTTTTTTTCAATGAAAGGACATCCATACTTGTTTCTCTTCATTTTGTTGGACCGTCTCTACGTTTTTCTTTTGGATTTACACATGCGTTTAAAATGATTCATTTTAAAACACTTTTCACATTATTTTTTTTTTTATTATATATACTGGACATTTTTTTCTCTTTGATGTTGATATCCACAACAAGTATACATTATTCTGTCTTTTTTATTTATCACATATGTGTTCATGTCGTCTACCGGATCCGTAACTTTTGTTCTATTAAATTTTCGAATTAATTCTTGTTGCTGAACAAATTCGACACACTTCTAGTGACAAATTTCTCCGTTATAAATGAATTAGAGTCATTTGACGATACTACTCATTTTGAAGGTGATTTATCAATTTCATTTGGATTAAATCCTCTTCGAATCATTGGTTCTCAAATGCCAGTTTTTCAAATTTACAATATTTATGGCCTGTTTTAAACGAAGAACATATTCATAACTGATTCATTCATTTTTTGAGAAATATTCATAAACTTAGCTTTTCTGTATTCAATAGTTTTTCTGTGCTATGTTTTTTTACTATTAATTGACTTATATCGTCAAACGTTATTTCCTCTTACTGTCATGGGTGTGCAGCTGCTGATAATTTTATAATAGCCTCACAACTAGTAATTGCTACGAAGAGATCAGTTATTTGTTTTTTCCTCCAACTGATTTCAAATATTTCAGCTTTTTTGTTCTTTAGCTGACAATGCTTTGGCTGATATTATCCTAAACCCCGTTTATGTGTATTCATAATCATCCGGTGATAATTTTTCGTTCAGTTCTTCAGATATCGGCGACGCCATTGTAGTGTAGTGTTACTGACGTATGAGAAGTAGTATGCGCTTAACTGCCTTATGGGTAATAGCCGTAGCTATTTATAGACCTTGTGACTTCATATGTAAATGAGTCACCTCAGGCTGTGTAGCAAGATTGCAGAAGCGGCCTTTCCTGAAGTTTTAGCGTAGGTGTCTTCGATGCAAGCTTTTAATTCTTGCGACAGTTACCTCAGAGGAAAACGTGCGTGTGGTTTTTCGCTTGTTTAGCCTAAGTCCCCACGGCTAAGTAGTTCTGACTGCACGGGCGAAAGCAGCACGCTGACACGAGATAGTTTTCTTTTAGAAAACTCACAATATATTACAGTCCTTAATGATGTGCACTAATATCATTATGATTATGCGATAAAAATTGGCGTGGAGGTGGATGCAGACAGATATATACGAATTTTGGGAAAAGAAAGGCAATCTAATTGAGCAGTTGAAGTTAAAGTCGAGAGACGGGTTGGAGATTTGAAACATAGTGGGGGGGGCAGAATGACCGTAGGTGAGAAACAATTATGAATGAAAGAAAAGAATGCGATCATAGGAAATGGAAAGAAAGAGAAAGAAAGCGAGAAAGATATAAAGAAAGAGAAATGAGGCAGAATGAAAAAGAAAGAAAAAGAAAGAGGAGATAGATACAAAGGAATAAAGTGTAATATTAAAATGAAAGAAAGAAATTTAAAAAATGAGTGAAAGAAAGAAAGAAAGAAAGAAAGAAAGAAAGAAAGAAAGAAAGAAAGAAAGAAAGACACAAATGAATATAGTGTACTATTAAAAAAAAGAATGAGTGAAAGAAAGAAAGAAAGAAAGAAAGAAAGAAAAAAATGAAATAAAAAAAAAAAAAAAAAGAAAGAAAAAAAATAAAGAAAAGTATAATATTAAAAAAAAAGAAAGAAAGAAAAAGAAAGAACGAATGAAAGAAAGAAAGAAAGAAAGAAAGAAAGAAAGAAAGAAAGAATAGACACAAACGAATATAGTGTACTATTAAAAAAAGAATGAGTGAAAGAAAGAAAGAAAGAAAGAAAGAAAGAAAGAAAGAAAGAAAAAACGAAAGTAAGAAAGAAGAAATAGACAAAAAGGAACCGAGTGTAATCTTTAAAAAGAGTGAAAGACAGTAGCAGAAAAACTAAAGAAAGAAAGAAAGAAAGAAAGAAAGAAAGAAAGAAAGAAAGAAAGAAAGAAAATGTCACTGAGAAAAAAAAGAAAGTAAAAAAAGAAAGAAAAGTAAAGCATAAAGAAAGATTGAAAGAAGAAATAAACAAGAAAAATGAAATAAAGAAGGAATGAAAATAGGCGGGAGTAAAGAAATTATTAAAAAAACAGACCGAAAAATGATAGATAGATAGATAGATAGATAGATAGATAGATAGATAGATAGATATAACATGCATAAATGGCTGTGAAGAGGTGAAAATAAGGAAATGAATGCATGAAACAAGAGGAAAAGCAGCCGAAAATATGAATACCCGAAATAAACTGACAAACTTAAATAAAATGGTATTGTTGGCTCTGAGCGAGAAACATAAGAATGGAATACATGAATAAATTTAAATAATCTCTTATTTTATTAACTGTGTATTATATTTCCTTGTTTTTCTACCTGTTGAGTTTTACACCAAGTGACAGTACATCTCAGTACACTTGCACTCTCTTAATTATTCTGTCTCCTTTTAGTGACGCTGTTAACTGGACGATTTCTATTGTGCCACGAATTTCTACTTTTTCCCATGTTTTTCCAAGACTTGGAATTCTGATTTTTATTCCAGGAGAGTCTCCAGTTTATTCTGGTACAATTTTCACAGTTCGCAATGCAGTTCTGTTCCTCCTCTCTCATATATGCATATTTTTTTTTTTTTTTTAGATTCATTAGTTAGGTGATTTGCCGCTTTCTTTCTTCACAGAGAATTTTTTCTGTTGCTTTTTTTTTTTTTTTTTTTCATTAATTGTCCCTTTGACCTTGTTTATTCCGGTGTATTTCTCCTGTCTTACAACGGTGAAGGATAAGGTTTTTCTCTTCAGATGTCCTCTGCATAACCATATCCATGAAGTTTTGGTCTGTCGTTTAAACTCTCTGTAATGCAATGGTTGATTGATTGATTTCATTTGATTTTTACCACTTTGTGGGTTATTTAAAGCCGCAATATGATTTTGATTGTTAAAAAAAAAAACATTTTTATTTCTCAGTAAATACTGGCGTAACAAATTTTGGATAATAACAATGATTTTCTAGATACAAGTTTTGAAAATTTAACCAATAACTAGAGGAAGACGAGATGGATTTATATTAAAGTCACCATATGTCTTTTTGTTTTACTTTTTCTTAATTTTTTTCCTTCTCTATCATATTGCACTGTTTTCGAGAATGATGATATTTTTGTTGCAGTGTCGTTTGTATTTTTCAGATATTTTTCAGTATTGTTCTATAGCTGTATCTGTGATTACAAAGCAATGTTGTTTGTATTTTGTCGAGTTTTATTTGAATCATTTTGAAACACCGTTTTCGTTGTTGGCGAGTCATTTACCACCTTTCTTCCGTTGTCCTATCTGAACATAAAGCTTTGTGTATGGTCAAACGTTTACTTGTCCGTTGAGCAATTGATTTGTGTTCCTCTTTTGTCCAACCGAGGAATGCTATTAATACTGGCCAGGTGTCCATTCCTTTTATAAGGATTCTGCTATTTAGCTTCTTTTCAAGTATTTTTCTTATCCAACATTCTTAATTTCCTACCATTTCTTCCTGTTTTCTTGAGTCACATTCGAGTATTCTGGCTTAGCGGTCATGTTCTATTAACCCATTCATATCCATAAGACTAACCGTTTCTATAAAGGAAATATTCGGTAAACATCGACGGAAAAGTTAATGTCACTCTTGGTTGGAATTTTTAATGTCCTATCAAGACACGTAATAAAATAATATATTTTCTCTTTTCTCTTTGTATTAAAATATTATATCAAGTTCGATATTTACAGTATATAAGACTTCACTATATATATATATATATATATATATATATATATATATATATATATATATATATACGATCACCTGACTATCCGCTTAGGTGAACACTGGTAGGTTTGTCTGGCTCACTAGGTTTATCTAGGTCCGCTCTACGGCTGTATTGAGCTCTTTTTAGTTAGTTGTTTACTCGTGTCGGGTTTTTTTTTCTTTGGGCTTCAAACATATATCTGTGCGATTTTTTTTCGACAGACTTTCATGTTTCTAGCTCTTTCTTTTTTTAAAACCTTTTTTTCCTTCGAGATTGATTTGATTATTGGCAAATCAAAAATTCGAAGGTTTTTCGAGACGAGTATTGTTACCTATATATATATATATATATATATATATATATATATATAGATAGATAGATAGATAGATAGATAGATAGATAGATAGATATTTCTTTACAGGTTTAAGCATTCACCAAAAATGCTAAGATATCGCTCAATATCTCTGAGATGAGGTATTATGATTATTCACATTATTTACATTATTCGGACTGTTATCCTCATCTTCATTGCCATATTCACAACGTTTCGGCCGTTATACGATACAACCTTCTTCAGATGATTGAAATTTCGAACTGAACCCTTTATTTCGTCTACCGAGGTAGATTGTTCTAGTTCCACGTGCCATGCCTCTTCCGCATGTCTCAGTTATGTCCCTTTAACTCAACTCGCCAATTTTAGTTCACCACTGCTGTGGTCTGGCATTGAACTCACAACTCTTTGGGTCTAGTCACTGGATCTGACCAACGTCTTTATCCACTGGGACATGTGTCCTTGAAACGTTGGGAATATGGCAATGAAGATGAGGATAATAGTCCGATTAATGTAAATAATATAATTAAGAGTGCTAGTAATATTTAATTTTTTTAACACAATTTTGCTAATGATATCTACTTATAAAATATAAAAATATCTTTACGCTGATCTATTTTTTTGCTTATTTTTACTCAGTACACACGTGCGGACGCGTACACACACATGCATAAACACATGCACACACACAAAGAGAAAAATCAAGCTCACTTAACTAGTGCATAAATTAATATTTGATTTAATATAAAAATAATGAAAATGAGAAAATACGTAGTCAATTGCTAAAACCTCTTGACGAGTGGACGGAACGATTGCAAAATGGTTCGTTTACATGACTCAAATGTCGAGATGCTGAATTTAACATTAATCGGTTAAGTGACAAATTTTATTTGTATTCATCCGAAATATTAAATTATACAAATGATAATCTTAATAATATATGTAGATGACCCCTGTAGATGGCATAGGTCATAAAATCCCAATGTTATTTATAGTGTTCTACCTATAACCCTACGATTAATACCGTCCTTTGTTAGCGTATATGTTTATTCAACTTGTTATCACTGGTCTTTTACTGAACTTTGTCTATTTAATACAAACGATGGTTCTCCTCAATACACTGGCACTCTTTTCGGCATTCCAACTGATTTTATCAGTCGTTCAGGTGATTTCGATTCTTTCCATGGTCCCGGGTTCCGCTTGCCTTTTTACTCTTCTTTCGGTATAACTCTAGCTATTTGAACAGTAAAACCATGAGACCTAGTCGCTAATCTAGTAGTCCACTTAAATTCATGTGGTCGAGTTAGCAAGAAGGAAAACTCATTTGAACAACTGCCTTGAATATACTTATAGAAAACACAAAGGGAACCCCCTTCACAGCGATTAGAGAGTGACTGAAGTCGCGATGCCAGGCCAAGATCGATAACATTACAGATCTTTGAATTTTTTTCGTGAATATATTTGTATATATGCCATTTTTTTTTAAATAAAAGATAGAATGTAGTTCTTTGCACTGTTCCCAGTAGAGTATCATTCCCACCCACTCTTGTCTATTCTTTTAGTCTCATTCGTTATATTCGCTGATCATGTGCTTGATTCTCGCCTTTGATGTCCACAGTCTAAATTTTCTGTTCCCCTGTGTTTTGTATATCTTGGACATTTTTTGTTAATATTTATGACATTGTTTTGAACCCTCTCTAACGAGTCATTCAGTTTCTGTCTTGTGGTTTCCGCTACGTTGCCATGTCCATATTGATTTATTTGCCATTCCCGCGTATTTTCTTCTGAAGTGTCCGTCCAGTTGTTTTTCCTCGCATTTCTTTCTCTTCTCAGTTTGTCTCCTGTGTTTCTGTTTATACTTCTGTTCAATTTTATACAATTCCTCTCGTGATGTTATTAGATTAGGTTGTCACACATGAAATGATGCACTTTATAGGAAATTAATAAAAGGCTTTTGAAATGTTAAATAAATAATTTATTTAGCCGAAATAGGCACCATGTTGATGAATGACTCTTCTCCAACGTATCTTTAAATTCTTGATCCCATCTTTAAAAAATTATCATCCTTTGATGTGATAAACAGTTCAAATACTTCGATTATCTCTTCCTTATTGGACAATGTTTTATTGCTTATGAAATGCTCAAAATGCTTAAATAAATGATAATCTGTGAAAGATATCAGGTGAATATGGACGATGAGGCAAAATTTCATGATTCAGGTTATACATCTTTTGGATAGTTGATTGAGAAGCGCGCGGCCGTTCGTTGTCTTGGAGCAAAATTGAGCCATCACTATTCACAAGTCTGGGATGCTTCTTTTTCAGTTTTTCGTACCCTCAACAAGACGAGGTTTCTGTTTAGCTTGAGGCAAGAATGAATAATGTATAACCCCTTTGAAAGACCACCAAACTGTAACCATTAACTTTTTATGGTGCAGTGAAGGTTTTGGTTATTGTTTTTGTGATTCACTTCTGTCTAATCACTGGGCTACTCACTTACTTTTATCCAAGAGTATCCCTTTCTCGTCGTATGTAATGATTCGATGCAAAAATGGTTCTTTTTCCCAGTTTATACTCGTACAGTAAGATTACTCGACATTGTTTCCTTGTACTCATTTTCATGAAGCTTATAAGTAACAATATATTGAAAGGAAAATTATCTGAAAAGAAAATAGAGAACAAACACAGGCGATCCCATTATTGAATTAAGTAGACCACGTGACCATAGAGGAAACGAATAAGAAGAGATTTGCTTGGCATCTGATTGATCTCCATTTCTACTCTGTCTTCTATTACTATTCGGATCGCCATTTCTACTCTATCCTCTATTACTATTCGGATCGCCATTTCTACTCTATCCTCTATTACTATTCGGATCGCTATTTCTACTCTATCCTCTATTACTATTCGGATCGCCATTTCTACTCTATCCTCTATTATTATTCGGATCGCCATTTCTACTCTATCCTCTATTACTATTCGGATCGCTATTTCTACTCTATCCTCTATTACTATTAGGATCGCCATTTCTACTCTATCCTCTATTACTATTCGGATCGCCATTTCTACTCTATCCTCTATTATTATTCGGATCGCCATTTCTACTCTATC